CTGGTATATGGTTGTTCATTATTTTTGTTATTTTCTCGCCTGGTCCATTATACTCCTGCTATGAGTTATTTTCTTAAATTTATTTAGGTATACAAGAACTGGGGTGCGGGCCAGAAGTGTGGTGGGTGAGAGGATTCACCAGAGACAGAGTGGGGAGCAGAACAGGCAGATTCACTGAAATCCGCTGCTGAGGGGAGCAGCAGGGAAACAGGAGAGGTCTGCTGCGCCCTGTGGGTCACCTCCCTGGCCGGGGATCAAATTCAGGCCCCAGTGGCTGGTGATAGCCTTATAGTGCTGAGACTTTAACCCCTGTGTCACCAGGGGTTATTTTTTTTTTTAATTAACAGTTTATTTTTACATCACTTTGTGTCTTTTTCCATCTCAGTTGTTCTTCTCTATTTTTTAAGCCAAAAAATGAGAGCATGTCTCAGTGGCAACTTCTGATCATCAGTGGCTCTTACCATCATTGGGCTGTATCAGAGAACCTCACAATGTCTCCCAGCCACCACCCCCACCCTGTGACCCTTGGTAGACTTGCCCTCAGCTCCCCAAGCCTCTAGCCAGGGAGTGATTTCTATGGAGGTCCCCAAGGTGGCCCCCTGGCGCCAAGGTCGAAACAGTCCTCAGCACACTTTGCTCCAGACCCACCCTGCATCGAGTCAAGGTCAGATGGTGTCCTTCCTTCCCTGCACCACCTCTCTCTTTTACCTCAGAGTTTCCCCCAAGGAATCCTCCTTCAATCAATCACATGCACCTAAATCCCTGTGTCAGGCTCCACGCCAGGAAACCAATCTAGACAGGTGGCATGAACGGATCATTTATCACCCAGACAAGGACATTTTTTAGCAAGCATTATGGGGACACCTGATGTAAACCGAATCTACCCAACACAAACCAAGACACACCTGATGGGGAACTTTATGTTGTATCGGGCCATCAACCCTGAAACCACTAGTTAATCAATCCTAAACTCACTCAAGATGATCAGACATTGTGAGCCCGGAAACACAGATGTCCAAGTTTTGGCAGGAAAGTCTGACATTACTGGAGGCCCCTCAGTCCCAGACAGGGGAGGAGGGTTGGCTACCTTATCAGTGTGTCATGTATACAAAAAAAACAAAGTTACTAAAAAATCAAACTTAAATCCAAGTAAGTCTTCATTCAGTGTTTACAGTTATTTTAATTTATAGTAAGTTCAAGTGGTAGAAGAACATGTTAAATCATGTTAAATGATATGCTTTTTTTTTTTAAGATTTATTAATTTAGGCATACAGGAACTAGAATACAGGCCAGAGGTGTGGGAGGAGGGGAGCGAGTGTATTCACCAGAGACAGAGTGGGGAGCAGAACAGGCAGATCTATTGATACACTGCTAAGGGGAACAGGAGGGAGAGGGGAACAGGAGGGAGACAGGAGAGGTCTGCTGCGCCATGTGGGTCACCTCCCTGGCCAGGGATCCAACTCATGCTGCAGTGGTTGAGGATAGTTTCACAGTGTTGGGTTAACCCTTTGTGCCACCCAGGAGGGCCTAAATGATGTTCCAAGTAAAGCAGTCAAATTTAAAGCACGGGAAACTCTACTGGACACCAGTAGGGTTTAAAACAAAATGGCAGGCCCACCCTGCCCCCCGTGGTGCAATGAATTAAAACTGGCCACAGCCACTTCACAAGTTCGATCCCCGGCCAGGGAGTGACCCACATGGTGCAACAGACCTCTCCTATCTCTCCGCTGCTCCCCTCAGCAGTGTACTTGTCATTCGGCCTGTTCTGCTCCCCACTGTCTCTGGTGAATCCGCTCACTGCCCCTGTGCCTCTGGCCTCTACCCCAGTTCTGTATGCATAAATAACAAACCTTTTAAAAATAAATAAATAAAACAAAATGGCAGCTGACATGCCAATTTCCTAAAGGGAACTCATAATTTTATAGCAATTTCTACCATCTACCACCAAAGAATTTCTGTAAAATATTTTTAGGCATTTAAATAATTCTAAAGCTTATCTGGAAATAGAAACAAGTGAGGATTAAAGAAAAAAAATTGAAAAAGAGTAATTGGTCCCAGAGACTTGTACCATTATACGTGAAACTATTTTAATCCCATGGTGTGATACTGGCTGAAGAATGTACTGACCAAGAAAAGCAGACTAGACCCAGTCCAGAAGTCAGAATATCCTGTGCCTTAGAGATCTAAGAGAACTCAGTGATGAAACTATCTGAGCCTGACACAGTCCTGTGGAAGAACTTAACAAATGCTCTGGCTTTGTGGCGTGTTTAAAATGTTTATTTTAGCACTTTTACTTCCTGGAGGGAAAAGACTATCCTGGCTTTCTATTTCTTCTTCTCCCTTTCTACATATACACAGACTGGAGCACTTAGGTTGGCAGCATTTTTACCTCCACCAGCCAACATTAGAGTGAAAATACGGGATTTGAATTAACTTTTTAACATGCGTCCTGTTGGAGTTTTCCATAGATATGGCATCTCTAACTGGATGCTTTCCTTCTGACTGTCCAGCATTTATTCGACTTGTCTTCAGGGAAATCCATTTTCCACTTCCTAAAGGTCATTTAAAAAATGAAAGTAGCCAGCAGTCATTGTTCTATGTGAATGTGATTTAACATTATTTTTCAAAGATATATTTATGCATGTAAGAACTGGGGTGTAGGCCAGAAGTATGGGGGGGGAGGGGGGTGAACAGATTCACCAGGGACAGAGTAGGAAGCAGAACAGGCAGACGGACTGAAATACACTGCTGAAGGGAGCAGCAGGGAGACAGGAGAGGTCTGCTGCGCCATGTGGGTCACCTTCCTGGCCAGGGGTCAAACTCATGCTGCAGTGGCTGCAGAGAGCTTCGTAGCACTGAGACTTAACCCTTTGCACCACCAGGGAGGCCCTGTTTTAACATTTTTATATCGATTTTTTAAATTCAAATAATGGCCTGACTTAACGTCATCTGATTAGGATGACAAAGAGACTTAGACTGCGAAGTATCAGGATGGCACATACTCTGCAGGGACATGACCCTGAGGACTGGACCAGCCTCCTAACTGCTGCCACCCTCCTCTCCCTTCCAGCAGTCCACTCCAGCTGCGACTCCCACTCCTCTTAGCTCACATGGTTGGAAGGTGTCAGACTCCTCAGAACAGGTGCCAAGCCTGGCTTCAAGGCCTGAAGAAATTAGGAGGGACCCGACGCCAGGAGGAAACCTTTGGACTCCCATGGCCGAGGGCACTGCTGCCTTCTGGGTAGGGACCCTGCAGGCAGCCCTCACCTGCCCAGCCTTGCCACTGTCTTCCCTCCTAGACCCCGAAATACCTGGGATTTCAAATGGGGTCACGATGACAAACAACCCTCTATTTTCCCAACACTATCCCCCTCCTGCTTTTTCCTACTTTTCTCTGGCAACCTGGGAGTATCCAGGCTAGAAGCATTGTGCTACATTAGAAAATTCTGCTTTTAATCAAAGGTCTCTTGTAATATTTTCCTTGCGGGTTCCAACTAGATGGTTTTTAAAAAAACTCTTTGTGTATAGTTAAACAGACACAAACATGCTAATTATGCCAGACAGCAGTTATAATGAGTCGTTTCAAGCATTTGGAATAGGCGTGTGGCTTTGAAGCAATTAAAGTAAGGAAGGCCTCAATAAAGTATTTGGGGAAAATGCTTGCAACAAATGTGACCCCAAAATCAGTATCATTAAAGCCATCTTATTAATTAACGGGAAAGACAAATGCCTTAACAGTAAAATAAGCCAAAGCTCAAACAGGCAAGTCACTAAACACGGTTCTCTTTTCAGACCTAAATTCATATCTGTCATTTACTGAGTGACTCTGGGCAAGTTGCTTAATCCCTCTGAGCCTGGGTTTCCTGAGCTTATTAAGGGCTCAGGTGCAAGAATTGCTGAGCATTCATGAAGCGTGCCAAAAGCCAGAAGCCATTCTTACTATTTCTATACCACACAAATGCACGACTCTGTATATCAAAAAGCCCAGCACAATCACAGCCTCCAGAAAGATCAGACCTGTGCCCTTACCCTACCTGCACCCACAGGCTGTCCTCTGCAAGCAGATTTTTCATGTTCCCCACTGAATTCTTTGAGGTGTAGACAACCCAGGGTTGACAATTTGGAGACTCACCTCAGGTAACAGGCAGGGGTCATTCTGCAAAAGCAGGGTCCGAAGCTGGGCCTCATTGAGGCCAAAAAGCCCATGGTTTTTCAGCACTTGGATGTTGACAGGTGTGTGGATGTCATGGGAAAGAGTGCAGGTAGACCTAGAATGCAAAGCTGCATCAGACACCCAGATGAAGAAGGCTCCAGTCTGTCCAACTTCTTGCCTAGGGCATTTTTTCCCTGTGTGTTGCTAACCAAACGTGATCTGAACACATGTTTTGACTTACGTGTGAAATCAAATTATTTTTCATGGGGCCCTCCCTAGTGGCGCAACGGGTTACAGCAAAATACTGTGAATCTGTCCACAGCCACTGCAGCACAACTTCAACCCCTGCTAGCCAGCTGACCCACATGGAGCAGCAGACCTCTCCTGTCCCGCCCGCTGCCCCCTCAGCAGTGTCTTTCAGTAGATCTGCCTGTTCTGCTCCCCACTCTGTCTCTGGTGAATCCTCTCACACATACACCCCCACACCGCTGGCCTGTACCCCAGTTCTTAATGTGCATACATAAAAAAAATCTTTTAAAAAATAATTTGTCGGCCCTCCCTGGTGGCGCAGTGGGTTAAAGCACAGTATTAAGAAGCTAAAGCCACTTCTGCATGAGTTCGATCCCCGCCTGCCCCAGAGGTGACCACAGGGCGCAGCAGACCTCTCCTGACCGCCCACTGCTCCCCTCAGCAGTGTGCTTCGTAGATCTGCCTGTTCTGCTCCCGGCTTTGTCTGTGGTGTATCCTATCATCCTTCACATCTCTGTACCCCAGTTCTGTATGAATAAATAAATCTTTAAAATAATTAATAATAATAATTTGTCATGACCCCACAGCTGCCCAGCCTACTGAGTATGCACCGGTAATTAAAAAGTTGGGCTGTCAAGGGGGTTACAACTGAGATGGAAAAATGCACAAAATTACGTAAAAAATAGGGCCCTCCCTGGTGGCGCAGCGGGTTAAGGCACAGCACAAAGAAGCTTAAGTCACTTCCGCATGAGTTCGATTCCCGCGTGCCCTGGAGGAGATCCACATGGCGCGGCAGACCTCTCCTGACCCGCCCGCTGCTCCCCTCAGCAGTGTACTTCTTCGATCTGCCTGTTCTGCTCCCCGCTCTGTCTCTGGTGAAGCCTCTCACCCTCCACATCTCTGGCCTGTTCTGTACAGTTCTGTACAAATAAATAAATAAATCTTTAAAAAAAAATTACGTAAAAATATATTACATTATTAAAAAAAAAAAAGTTGGGTTGAAGCAACTCCTCTCCAGGGTCACTTTCATTTTGAAAGAAGATGCTTTAAAGCCAGGGCGTCTACTCTCCTTGACCCCGGGTGCCCACCATGCTATGGGTGACTGCACTTGCCTTCTCCACCCCAGAAAACAACAGATGGTGTCCATCTCCATGGTCCACTCAGGTTAAAAAAAAGCTTGCCCAGTCCCACTCAGGGGGACCCAGGTAAACCAAGGAAAGCTGGCGTCAGAGGTGGACTCAGAAGGACACTGCCGGACCCAACCTGGAGATCACAGCCTCCCTCTTGTAAAACTCTGGTTTCGAAGAGGCAGCCGTCTCTCAATAGAGTGTAGTGGGATCCTCAAATGCACCCCAAAAGACCACTGGAGTAAAGGAGTCCCATCCCCATTTACTCTGGAGGTGTCCCAGGGATCCCAGGGGTGTTGGAGCTGCAGGTTTTTTTTTTTTTTTGGACAAGAGAAGGTGAGGGTTACCCTTCCAGGCCATGCATTGGTTACAGTGCAGCACTGCAAGCAAGCCACAGCAGCTTTAGTTTGAGTTTGATCCCCCACCAGGTTACTGACCCACATGGCTCAGCAGACCTCTCCAGTCTCCCGCTCTGCTCCCCTCAGAAGTGTGTTTCAGTCAATCTGCCTATTCTGCTCCCCACTCTGACTCTGGTGAATCCTCTCACCCCATCCTGCACCTCTAATCTATATCCCAGCTCTATATGCATACATAAGTCTTTAAAAATAAGAAAAAACCCTCCCTGGGGGTGCAGCGGGTTAAAGCGCAGCACTAAGAAGCTTCAGCCACTTCTGCATGAGATAAACCCCGCCCGCCCCGAGGAGATCCACATGGCGCTGCAGACCTCTCCTGACCCGCCCGCTGCTCCCCTCAGC